CGGGGTCTTGTTCACGAGTGATGGGAAGAAGGATCATGAGATCGACCGCAGGCTGGGACAAGCGGCAGCAGTAATGCGGTCGCTGTACCGGACTGTAGTGGTGTTTACCGATCGGTCTACATCCCGACCCTCACCTATGGTCATGAGCTGTGGGTAATGACCGAAAGAATGAGATCGCGAATACAAGTGGCAGAAATGAGCTTTCTTCGCAGGGTGGCGGGCTACACTCTATTTGATAGGGTGAGGAGCTCGGCCATCCGGGAGGAGCTCGGAGTAGAGCCGCTACTCCTCTGCATTGAGAGGAGCCAGCTGAGGTGGTTCGGGCGTCTGATCCGGATGCCCCCGGGACGCCTCCCGGTGGGGGGTGTACCAGGCACAGCCTACCGGAATATCTCCAAGTTGGCCTGGGAGCGGCTTGGGGTCCCCAGGAATGAGCTGGAGGAAGTTGCGGGGGACAGGGTCACCTGGGATTCTCTGCTCTCCCAACTGCTACCGCGACCCTATCTGGACTAAGCAGTTAACAATGATGATGATGATGATGATGATGAAGACAACATATCAGTATGTTGAAACTGAGAACTTTAATGTTTTTTTTTTTTGTTTTTTTTTAATAAATGCCCAATTTAAATTTGATGGCAGTAAAACATTTTTTAAAAAGTTGGAACGGGGCAACAAAAGACGTAAAGTTGTGTAATGCTAAAAAAAACAAACACCTGGTGGTTACTTGGCAACAGCTCAGTAACATCATTGGATATAAAGAGGGCATCGCAGAGAGGCTGAATCTTTTAGAAGTAAAAACGCTGAGGGGTTCACAACTCTGTGAAAGACTGCGTGGGCAAATAAATCAAGAACAATGTTTCTCAACATAAAAAGCAAAGAATTTGGGGATTTCATCCTTTACAGTACATTGCATCATTAAAAGATTCAGAGAATCAAGAAAAATCTCCGTATGCAAGGGACAGGGCCAAAAAAAACAGTATTCGCTAGCCATGACCGTCAGGCCCCCAGGCATCACTGCATTAAAAACAGACATGATTCTGCGGAAACAATCACTGCATGGGCTCAGGAACACTTCTGAAAACGACTGTCTGTGAACCACATGTAAACAGGATCCAGAAACACCGCCATCTTTTCTGGGCCAAAGCTCATCTAAAATGGACTGAGGCAAAATGGAAAAATGTCCGGTGGTCAGATGAATCAAAGTTTAAAATTCTTTTTGGAAGTTATGGATGCTGCATTCTCCAGGCTAAAGACCTCCTGGCTTGTTATCAGAGCACAGTTCAAAAGCCAGTATCTGTGATAGTGTGGGTTGCAATATTGCATGTGGCATGGGTGACATGCACATCTGTGAGGGCACCATTAATGCTGAACAATATATACAAGTTTTGACAACATATGCTGCCATCGAGGCAACATCTTTTTCAGGGAAGGTCTTGCTTATTTCAGCAAGACAATGTCAACCACATTCTGCAGAAAGTTACTGACCTAATCAGTTTCAATATTTGGTATGTTGTCTTTGTACTATTTTCAATTAAATATAGAGTTTACATGATTTTCATATCACTGCATTCTGTTTTTATTTACATTTTGCACAGCATCTCAAATTTTGGGAACAGGGTTATATTTTAGTACTTAATTTTATTTTCTGATGATCTAAAGCACTTTCAGTTGCCTTTGTGTATATAGCAGAACTTCTTGACAGAGAGATTGCATATTTCAATGAATAAAACGTTTAAAAGAATGTTCATTACAAACATTAGGACGCAGTGTAAGTCATCTTTTTCTTAACAGAGTTTAAAGAGATCAGACTCACTCAGGGCTGTGAGGGAAATCTGGAAGTGTTCTACAATGGAACCTGGGGTAATGTGTGTGGAAATGGAATGACTGAAGAAACAGCAAGTTTGATCTGTCAGGAGCTGAACTGTGGAAAAACTGGCAGTAGGAGGAATACTGAAGCAAGAGTGGAATCAGCTCCTAACTGGCTGGATGATCTGAAGTGTAGGAAACATGACTCCACTCTGTGGCACTGTCCATCTTCACCCTGGAGACAGAACAACTGTGATAATCACAATGAGGCGGCTCACATTAAATGCTCAGGTAGGCAGTTTGTAGTGGATTTCTACACTGCCATGAACAGAATGTGTGAAAAAGTGATGTGTGAATGTGTGAAAAAATGTATTAGCAGAATGGATTTACATCTAACAGATGATTATAACTTATTTTGACATATTCAAAGATAAGGGACATCTGGTACAGCAAAGGAGTCTGAAGTGCTCCTCATCATCTCCCTATCAGAAACAGTGCTCAGGTAAGGACTCACATTAATCACAAGTTTTACTCCTAATCTTCACACATAATAAGTACATTTGTATCACAGTGTTCGCCAAAGAGTAAAACAGTACTTTAGTTAGTGTATTATGATTTTATAGTTGTATTATAATTTTACTCTGAGATGTTCCTGCATAGTCAGTTTTTCTGTGATGTGTGTGATGTAGATCACCTGCCTCTCAGGCTGAGGGGAGGAAAGGGAAGCTGCTCTGGGAGGCTGGAGGTGTATCATCAAACTAAGTGGGGCTCCATCTGTGTTGATCTGTGGGACATCAGGGATGCTCAGGTGGTCTGCAGGCAGCTGGGCTGTGGGCCGGCACTGAGTGCTGATGGGAGTGCTGTCTTTGGTGCTGGTAAAGGGCCTATCTGGCTGAACAGAGTGAAGTGCAGAGGGAATGAGATTCACCTGTGGGACTGTCCTCATTCCCTGAAGAACCACACTGACTGCTCCCACAGGCAGGATGCTGGAGTCACCTGTACAGGTCAGAGGGGGCTGCTGGACTTTGGAGTTTCTGACTCCGAACAAAACAATTTTACATGAGTCTCAATAATTCACAAGGCTGCTTTTGAAAAGTGCATTGAGGTCTTCAGTCCTTAAAGCTACACCATGTATGTTTTGAGGATTTGGAGACTTCTCTGGTGGAAATGTGTAGTTGCATGCAACATGTGGAAGAACGTTTTGTAACCTCATTTGTGCTGCAGACCCCATTCCATGCAGATAAAACTGATGATCATGTAACAGCATTACGTAATCAGGACAAAAAAAACATTAATATGATCTGTTTCAGTTACAGTAAATAAGACAGTAATCAGATTACAGGTACATTCTAAAGGTGATTACCAACAAGAGTACATTCAAACCACATACAGGTAGACTTGTTGCCTTTTATCTAAGTGGAAGAGTTTTCTAACTTGGAGAAGTGCAGGAAAGAGGCCTCTGCTGCCAGGAGAGATTTCTAAAAATCCCCTCCCCAGCAGCAATTCACGGTCTTTTATTTAGTCAACAGAATTTTAGTAAGAATTTTATTTTTATTGTCAGAACTGGGATCTGCAGCAGTTTCCTGAAGATATTTGAACGGCGTTTATCTGTGTTTTAAACACGTTACAGATTTTACATCAGCAAACTAATCTGATCTGGAAGTAAATTATTTTAAAGCTGAAGTGAGCTAACGTTAACAGATTTTAATGCTGAAGTGAGCTAACATTAACGAATAGCTCTGAATCATGAAAAAAGGGCGAAATCTTGTGAGCAGAAAAGTTAGTTTTATTTTCGCAAGTATTGCTTCCTTCAATAGTTTTTGAGTGATGGATGCAAAATGATCATTATATGTAACTAAGATGATCAGCTTCCTCTTTGTCGTGTGAAATTAATACATTTTTTAAACATGTACACTGTCTTCAAACTGAAATCGCTGAAACCTGATTAGGGAGCGACTACAAATTGCCATCAACAAAGCATGACGCACCAACATGAAACCTTATGAGCCAATACAGCCTTTTAGCAGTTTAGCAGTTTTTAGAATGGCATCTACTTGTATCTATTCTTGATGAGAGGTCTCAAATAAGATTTCTATGTATTGATCTTTTGACTTTAGTCTGTCTGATTGATCTTTTGACTTAAGGCAACAGATTTTTAATCTATAAAATCTTTAAAAAAATAAGGGCAAAATCACAGGAGAGCAGTATATTTTTAAACTATATTGCATTTGCATGTTGAACTCAATGAACTGGATCATTTTTTATAAATTACTTGTTTAACTGTATTCCTTTTTAGTCTTCCTTCATTTTCTTGTCACTTTTTTTCTGGGGAGCTCTGCCTTGCTTTGTGAAGTTTGTAGATTTTTACGGCTCACAAGTGTATATGTACAAATGTATCATCTTAATATTTGAAATATTTCCATTTTGGAATCTTGCTAAATGTGTGATCAGTGACCTTTTGTGAGCAGCACGGTTTTTAAGTCACATGTAATCTATTATTCTGTTTCATAAAATAGTGCAGTTTTTGTGTTTTCTTTAAGTTAAATTCTTGGTAAAAAAAAAAAAAGTCTTGTTGAAATAATTTTTAATGATTTTTATCAAAGAGAAAGGACATGTCTTCCAAGAATGTAAGTGATTCATCTAGTATTGTTAGGATATCTTGATCAGTATAATGTTGATTTTGCATTTGAAACTAAATCATGGAGCTGGACTTTCTTTTTGTGCATGTGACGTTAATACATAAAGACACATGATGTGGTCCAAAAATTTCACACAAGATTATTATTTCTGCATTTACACAATGTACACACCCTTTTTTAAGTTAGTTTTTTTTCCCCTGGCTAATGCCAATTCTTTTACTTAAAAAAAACGTATATGGTGCGGCTGTAAGTTGTTACTTCAGTAAATGTTTGTTTTTTTGTGCTTTATTGGACTTTTCTAGTGCAGTGGGTAGCACTGTCACCTCACAGCAAAAAGGGCCTGAGTTTGGTTCCCTGGCCACGTGACCAAGGGCCTTCCTGTGTAGAGTTTGCACGTTCTCCCTGTGTCTGCGTGGGTTTCCTCCTGCAGTCCAAAGACATGCAAGCAGGCCAAATGGAGATACTAAGTTGCTCCTAGGTGTGAATGTATATGTCTGTGTGTCTGCCCTGTGATGGAGTGGCAACCTGTCCAGAGTGCTTCCTGCCTTCCGCCCAATGACTGCTCGGATAGGCTCCAGTGACCCAAGTGGCTTAGAATTTTTTGTGTGTGTATTTTTAATTTTGTGTGTTGTTTCTGTATTTACAGACATATTTCTGCCTTCTACTACTGCACCCATAATTACAACCACCACCTCCATCACCACTGGTACAATTTTGTCATTTTCCTAAATGTTTTTGAATATAAAGTTCAATGTTCTACACAGTTTCTAGACAGTTTATGTTCTGTATTTTTATTTGCAGTTGGTCAGACAGTGAAGGGAACATTCACTCCTCCACAAACTCTTCCCACTTCTGTTCCGTCCACCTATCCAGTGTCTCTCCTGGTTCTGGGAGCGGTGCTCTTCCTGGCCTTAGTGCTTCTGGTTGTGCTGTTTTACCAGAACAGAGTGCTCAGGAGAGGTAGAGAGATTCAGAGATCATCTACAATCCACTTTCTGTACATTCTCTAAACATCATTAGTCCTTCAATCTGTCATCAGTCTTCTCTTCTACTGAACTGGCTCCATGTTTCTCTCTGTCTCCCTCACAGTGCTCTCTAAGAGGAGGCGTAAGACTCTGACTGAGGCAGTCTATGAGGAGATCGACCGCAGACACATCACTAAAAGAAATGACTTGACTCCACAAGGTTATGATACATGTGTGATACATGGAGTGTTTTACATGAGGATTATTGTGTTAAATTAAAATATACTTACATACGTACACACAATGTAAAAACACAAAACCTGCCCATTTGCTCAGTGGTCAAAATAATATTTCATATTCTAAAATCAACAGTTTCTTTCTTTCTCAGTGTATTAATAATAACAGTAAATCAGTTAAGTGAAAGTTTAGTGTATGTTAGATGAAATGTGCAGTTAGAGTAGATCTACATGTAGTGTAGTGTGTTAATTCTGCTGATAAGCATCTATTAGGCAGCTGAAGTTGAACTGTGTAATTCCTGTAAAAACTTCCATTTTTGTACTTTTTGTACAGAGAAACCACACAGCTGCAGGTGTGTGTGCTTGTATGTCTGTGTGTGTTGATAGAGAGAAAGAGGGGGGGAAGGGGGGGCACTGTGTCTGTGTGTGTTTGTATGTGTGTGTGTGTGTGTGTGTGTGTTTATATTTGTTTGTGTGTGTGTGTGTGTGCATACTTGTGTTAATGTGTGTCCTTTTGTGTGTTTGCCTGTGTGTTTCATTGAGTGTGCAAGCCCATCTGTCAGTGAGTTATTGATAGAATGACAAATGACTAAATAAGTGCGTGAGAGTCTGAGTGAATGAGTGTCTGAGTGTATGACCAGAGGAGTTACTGATAGAGTGAGTAAGTGATTGAATCAGTGACCAAATGACATGGTGAGTGAATTCCAGAGAGGATGATTTACTGAGTGATCGATTAGGAGAAGAGTTACCAAGTGTGTAAGTAGCTAAATGAGGGGCTAAGTGATCAAGTGAGTGAACAAGTGAATTACTAAATGAGTGGCTGAGTAACTTGTTTCACTTTGTCACTTGACCAAGTCACTAAGTTAGTGAGTAAGTGATCGAATGATTAGGCAAGTGAGTGACTGACTGAGTGACCAAGTGATGAGTGAGTGACCACGCGAGTAACCAAGTGTGTTAATGAATGACCAGATAAATGACGGAATGACTGACCAGGTAAGTGAGTGATCGATCGTTTGATAAAACATTGATGAGTGACCAAGTGAGTAAACTAGTGAACAAACTAGTATCCGCAAGTGAGCAAGTGAGTGAATAAGTGGACTAGTGAGTGACCAAGTAAGTGATTTATTGTGTTTTTAACTGAATAATCAATGCCTGTGTGAGTGAAAGATCTATTAAGTGACTGAATGAGCACGTGATCAAGTGAGTGACAATTTTTTTAATTGTTTGCACCACAGCAGCTTTAAAAATGTATCAGTTCTTTAAGTGTGCTCTGAGAAACTGAAGAGAGAGGAACAGAAGCATCTTATATGAAAGTCTTTTTTGTTGTAGCTCATAATGTCAGCCCACAGTGAAATGAGACTAAAAAGAGAAGTCATAGTCAGTTAAATTTTTATTGTGGTTGATTTTCTGCAAAATACATGAAAAGAAAAAAAAACATTTGATGACATCACCCACCTGTAGCTCACAATGATCCACAGCACTGGATCCACAGGATTGTGGGTGGTTCTGTGTTTTGAATGTGTTTGATGACTGTTCTCCTCTCCTCTAACAGGCAGTATCCTCTCTAAAGAACAGCATTCAGGATATGAGGATGTGGATGAGGAGCTTCTCTCAGGTAAGAGGACCAGAACATGTGTGTGTTAAACTCCATTTAACTGAGAAATATTACAATCACCATTTAGAAATGAGAGAATGTTTCATAAGCTACAGTTGTGCCAAAATATTTACAGGAAATCCTATTTACCATAAATAAATAGGAGGAATCCTTTATTGTTATTCTTCATAACACACACACACACACACATTTTCTAACCCCTGATCCTTCTGAGTCACGGGGGTAGCTGGAGCTCATCCCAGCAGTCATTCGGCAGAAGGCAGGATACAACCTGGATGGGTCACCAATCCATCGCAGGGCAATTCTTCACAATAGTAAAAAAAAAGAAAAAAAACACACAAGTCTATTCACACACACAATTCCTCAGCTGGCCAGCCCGGGAAAACTTCTTAGCTGTGGTGTAAAGTCTCTCAGTGAAAACCTCCTTAGCTGTGGTGTAAAGTCTGAAGACCTCTCGATGTACAGTCTCTCTATGCTGGTTGTGCTTTATGTGGACTAGTAGTAAAATTTTTAAAAACTCTTGGAAACTAAAAACTGTGGATCAGTTGCTTTGGCACAAAGTGCATTCAGTGCCTTCATAACTTCTTTTCTCAGTCAAACTCGACCATCAGCAAAACTCTGAGTATCTACAGAATCTTTTAGACATGTTTACAAACTCTTTACAGGACTGTTTATAATTTAAAACCTAACACAACAGCATTTTGAAATATTTATACAGTATATAAAATACCATCAAGATCTACTACTACTACTACTACTACTACTACTACTACTACTAATAATAATAATAATAATAATAAACAGGAAAAGAAGGAAATTATCCAAAAACAGCTAATTCTCATTTACCTGTGGAATGATAATTATAGCAGAAGTGCTAAAGAAGTAGTTGCAAGAGGAAAAAGAAGTCCAGGAGAGGCAGGGGAATACCTCAGTAAGGTCCTATACAAACGTGTAATTTATTGAAAATATATACCAGTGTATTCTGTATATCTTTTGGAATTTATTAACAACATGATTGCAAGTTATTCAAAGAGCTGCCATTTCAAGTGGAGCTCTACTTGAGTAAGAGTACCTGAAACTTTTACAGACATATCACAAGCACCATTAAGAAATAAGAAAATTAAGTATAAATCCGTGCTTCTTAAAACAAGTGTCTTTTAGTTGTGTTTCTTTTATGGCAAAAATATTGAGGCTCAGAGTAAGCCTAGTATGCAGCACTGGAGCTGTGGTGAATCTAGTTACATTTACTCACTTACTATATATATATTCAGTGAAAATTTATTGTATGTATTCAATGAAAATTAAATAAATAAATACATAAATAAATAAATCGATTTTTTGTCACAGATACAGTAAAAGTTTACCTGCACTGCATCATATGCATCATACAAATAAGCACTTGATTATTTTGTGCTTGGCCCATAACCAGTCGTGAACAAAATAATTCCAGAAATGACCCCTTTTAATAGATGCTCAACATCTGAATAGATAACTCAAACAATTATATAGATTTATATAGATTTTCCTCCCATTTAATCATACAAATAAGCACTTGATTATTTTGTGCTTGGCCCATAACCAGTCGTGAACAAAATAATTCCAGAAGTGACCCCTTTTAATAGATGCTCAGCATCTGAATAGGACAGCTCAGATGGGAATCAATGGCGATTAGCCTTTTTACATACATTCAATCAGCAGTTTGTCTCTACAACAATCCATATGAATTTCATTGTTGTCCAATTAGTCATTGTGATTTAATACATTTATATCCAGTTTATTTTCATATTTGTAAATACACTCTGCTTTTATTTGGTTTAGGTGAACCACCAAAAGAGGACACAGAAAAGAGCTATGATGATGTCATCACTGCTGGACAGATCTCTAAAAGTGTAGCAGGTGTGTTTCTGTTTTGGGGTTCTAGTTTAGTAAGAAACAGAAATTAAGCAGTGATAAAAATTATTAAATATGCTATGAAAATAGAAAAATGTAATAGTCTGTATTTGTAATGAATTATGTCGTATTTCCGCTGTCCAAGAAATTGTGTTTGGTGTGCAAGAGATCATCAGTTATACACATCCTCGAATTACTGTCGTCTGAATAAATCACACAAATTAAGAACCTGTGTTCCTCAGCAGCTTTAAAAATGTATCAGTTCTTTAAGTGTGCTCTGAGAAATTGAAGAGAGAGGAACAGAAGCTTCTTATGTAAAAGTCTTTTTTGTTGTAGCTCATAATGTCAGCCCACAGTGAAATGAGACTAAAAAGAGAAGTCATAGTCAGTTAAATTTTTATTGTGGTTGATTTTCTGCAAAATACATGAAAACATTTGATGACATCACCCACCTGTAGCTCACAATGATCCACAGCACTGGATCCACAGGATTGTGGGTGGTTCTGTGTTTTGAATGTGTTTGATGACTGTTCTGCTTTCCTCTAACAGGCAGTATCCTCTCTAAAGAACAGCATTCAGGATATGAGGATGTGGATGAGGAGCTTCTCTCAGGTAAGAGGACCAGAACATGTGTGTGTTAAACTCCATTTAACTGAGAAATATTACAATCACCATTTAGAAATGAGAGAATGTTTCATAAGCCACAGTTGTGCCAAAATATTTACAGGAAATCCTATTTACCATAAATAAATAGGAGGAATCCTTTATTGTTATTCTTCATAACACACACACACACACACACACACACACACACACACACACACACACACACACACACACACACACATTTTCTAACCCCTGATCCTTCTGAGTCACGGGGGTAGCTGGAGCTCATCCCAGCAGTCATTCGGCAGAAGGCAGGATACAACCTGGACAGGTCGCCAATCCATCACAGGGCAATTCTTCACAATAGAAAAAAAAAAGAAAAAAAACACACAAGTCTATTCACACACACAGTTCCTCAGCTGGCCAGCCCGGGAAAACTTCTTAGCTGTGGTGTAAAGTCTCTCAGTGAAAACCTCCTTAGCTGTGGTGTAAAGTCTGAAGACCTCTCGATGTACAGTCTCTCTATGCTGGTTGTGCTTTATGTGGACTAGTAGTAAAATTTTTTACCCTTTTCTGTTTCAGAGTGAAATTCTGTTTATAGTTTTTTACACACATTTTGCAACAATAAGTTCACTCTTTAAAAACTCTTGGAAACTAAAAACTGTGGATCAGTTGCTTTGGCACAAAGTGCATTCAGTGCCTTCATAACTTCTTTTCTCAGTCAAACTCGACCATCAGCAAAACTCTGAGTATCTACAGAATCTTTTAGACATGTTTACAAACTCTTTACAGGACTGTTTATAATTTAAAACCTAACACAACAGCATTTTGAAATATTTATACAGTATATAAAATACCATCAAGATCTACTACTACTACTACTACTAATAATAATAATAATAATAATAATAATAAACAGGAAAAGAAGGAAATTATCCAAAAACAGCTAATTCTCATTTACCTGTGGAATGATAATTATAGCAGAAGTGCTAAAGAAGTAGTTGCAAGAGGGAAAAGAAGTCCAGGAGAGGCAGGGGAATACCTCAGTAAGGTCCTATACAAACGTGTAATTTATTGAAAATATATACCAGTGTATTCTGTATATCTTTTGGAATTTATTAACAACATGATTGCAAGTTATTCAAAGAGCTGCCATTTCAAGTGGAGCTCTACTTGAGTAAGAGTACCTGAAACTTTTACAGACATATCACAAGCACCATTAAGAAATAAGAAAATTAAATATAAATCCATGCTTCTTAAAACAAGTGTCTTTTAGTTGTGTTTCTTTTATGGCAAAAATATTGAGGCTCAGAGTAAGCCTAGTATGCAGCACTGGAGCTGTGGTGAATCTAGTTACATTTACTCACTTACTATATATATATTCAGTGAAAATTTATTGTATGTATTCAATGAAAATTAAATAAATAAATACATAAATAAATAAATCGATTTTTTTGTCACAGATACAGTAAAAGTTTACCTGCACTGCATCATATGCATCATACAAATAAGCACTTGATTATTTTGTGCTTGGTCCATAACCAGTCGTGAACAAAATAATTCCAGAAGTGACCCCTTTTAATAGATGCTCAACATCTGAATAGGACAGCTCAGATGGGAATCAATGGCGATTAGCCTTTTTACATACATTCAATCAGCAGTTTGTCTCTACAACAATCCATATGAATTTCATTGTTGTCCAATTAGTCATTGTGATTTAATACATTTATATCCAGTTTATTTTCATATTTGTAAATACACTCTGCTTTTATTTGGTTTAGGTGAACCACCAAAAGAGGACACAGAAAAGAGCTATGATGATGTCATCACTGCTGGACAGATCTCTAAAAGTGTAGCAGGTGTGTTTCTGTTTTGGGGTTTTAGTTTAGTAAGAAACAGAAATTAAGCAGTGATAAAAATCATTAAATATGCTATGAAAATAGAAAAATGTAATAGTCTGTATTTGTAATGAATTTCTGAACCATTTTTGGAGCTTTACTGATCCTTACAGCAGTGGTCCACACATAAACGCAGGAGAGTATTTTTGCAAGATATGCTCATCCTACCTGCAAAATATGACCAAAATTAATTTATTAAATTTTATTAAACTACATTTTATAAAGAATTTTATTTTAGTCTTTAAACTGGAATGCAATACAAACTTAACAATTATGTCAAATATCATAAAAATCCTTCATTCAGTTTTGTCTGAAACACCTGACAAATACAGCTGTATAAACATGATTTAAATATCTCTGTGTTTTGGTGTAGAGAATGTAGCAGAGAATTATGATGAGGTCATCACTGCTGACCAGAGCTCAGCTGTTGTGACAGGTATGACTTGTAATGTAACAATACTGTAATCACAAACATGAACACAGTCACTGATGATACTGATGCTGATTTAATGACATTTATCTCTACATTTTGACAGAAGACGTAACACATGTCTATGATGATGCTGTTGCCACTGGACCAAACTCCAACATTATAACAAGTAAACTTTCTTATCATAGATATAAAGACAGATTCACAATTTAAAACTGAAGCTTCAACACAGAAAAAATGAAATGTTTTGAGAAAAATATATATATTTATCTCTCAATGGACACTTCAGTGAGCTATGAGGATGTCATCACTGATGAACGGGATGAGGGAGGGGTAAATGGTGAGTAGCTGATTTTGTTCTATATGTTTTAGTTGTACATATGAGCAACTTTTCCATTTTTAGTAAAGGGCTATATTTTGCCAGAATTTCTCCCCTGGGGCGGGTTTATGTCTTAGTCTTGGGTGAAGCTTATATTTGTTCTTATATTGTACAGTGTTGCTTGAAAGTTTGTGAAGCCTTTATCATTTTAAGAATTTCTGCATAAATATAACATCAAATCAAATCAGATCTTCATTTACATCATTACAATAGATAAAGAGAACCCATTAAAAATAACTCAAACAATTATATAGATTTTCCTCCCATTTAATGAACAATGACGGGATCCAACATTAAATGTCTTTCCGGCAAAAGTATGTGAACCTCTAGAATTATGTTTGGTGTAGGTAATATTTGGGTCAGGAAGTTCAATCAATTGGATCTTAATAAGGAGTGAGTGTGGCTGACAGGATTTCTAAAGGCCTCAGAACATTAGTTGCCAGTCCTCATTAGACATTCCAAAAGTATTTTTGATGAGTTTAGACTTTGGACACGCACTGTCAGGCAGTCGGAGGAAATTCAACACCATCATTACCCTTCCCTGGAGTGGTCATCCAACAAAAACTTCAAGAATAAGTCATAGAAAATTTTGGGTGATCACAAAGAACCCCACAGTAACATCTAAGGATCTGCAGGCCTCTCTTACACTGGCTAATGGCAGTGCTCGAGTCCACCATCAGGCAAACACTGAACAAGAGTAGTATATCGCTGCTGTCAGAGCAAAACCTTGTATCTTCATTTTTTGTATCTCCACGGTTTTCAGTTTTTGACAGTTTTAAAGTACCTGTTGCTCTTTACATAGTATGTAAATTTCATGATGAAAGAACCAAAACATGGCCCAAAATTACATGGGAAACTCTGGTTCCATTGACTTGCATTAAAGGTAAAGTGTGTTTTTTTTCTTCTCCTGTAAAGTTACCATTTTGGAGATACAAGGTTTTGCTCCGACAGCAGCAATATGTGGAATAATAGCATAGAGAAAGACACTACTCTCTAAGAAGAGCATTTCTTCTTGTTTAAAGTTTACTGACCTTCTGGATGTGCCAGAGGACTACTGAAATAATGCTCTGTGGATGGATTAGGCAAAAATGGATTTTTAAGGCTTAAATGAGATGTCATTTTTGGCAAAACACTGCATTTTACGTTATACAGGAATTGTTTGGTTGAAGCCATTGCACTATAGTTCAGGTAGTCTATTAATTGTAAGGGGTTGATCAGTGCCGCCTACTCCCGGCGGAGGACGGCGGCAGCAGCGCACGTCTAGGGCAGTCTCTGCCAGGGATTTCAACTTCCAGAATGCTGCAGGCTGATTGCCTTAACAGCACTCAGCTGGAGGACGGCCTACATAAGCCCCAGAACTGCACAAAGAAAATACTGAACCTTTGTAGATGGGTAGCTCGTAAAAAGAGAATAAGAAGATTAAAAAAAGTGCTACAAAGCAAAGAAAAATAAAAAAGAGAAACAAACTGTTCCAAAGGAAAAAGTAAAGGAGAGTTGTGAGTAGACAGAAAAATGAACAGCTGCAAAGCAAAGAGAAAAGAACAAAGGTAGCTGTAAAATGAAAAGAAGAACGCTCCAAATCAAAGAGAAAAAAAGGGAGCAGTAAAAGAAAAAGAACAAATCAATTCAGTAAAGTAAAAGAGCCGTTTCACTTTTCTTTTTCCCCTTGGTTATATATTACCCCTTGTTTGAGTTTGCCATGGTAGCGTCCCCTTTTAAGTTTTAGTGTTCTATAATAAGATGTGCTCATATTACAGATTATGATGACGTGGGGAAGGAGCTTCAGATGATGAGAGATGAATCATTTGACTGAGAAACCTCAGGTCTTTCCTCAGGAAATTACATTCAAAGCTCTTCAAACACAAGAAATGATTTTTTATTGATCGCAACACTGTTTATTTGACTGTTACACAATCAGTAAGGATATGGTGTAAAAAACACTGACACCCAGAAGGGGTCCTAACTTTTTCTTTCTTGTGTTATTTTCAAATTTATAATGATTGTGAGATTATTTTGCATGCTCATATCCACATTCCTAATCACAACTATATGTTATGTAACAAATTTTCTATATTGAGTTTTTTAATGATGATTTCTCATACCACAATGGGACATTTCATACATAAAAGAGAGATCATTCTGTACTGTCCTCTCCTCTCTATGTGTTGACTCATAGTAGACCTCTGGACACCTGATAACTGTTAATCTGTCTCTGACCTTGTATGTCTCAGAAATTTATTTGTTACACTTTGCAAAACAGAGTATTTCAGAGACAAAGCAGAGCTCTTACTTTGCCGTCTCAGTCAGAACTGAAAATAGATCATAAAAATAGCAGAGCATATTGTTGATCTTTGATAAAATATAGTCTCAGGTTACACAGAGTATAAAGATACCCAGAATACCCAGAATAAAGATGGTCTTTCTGAAATTGACCTCAACACCAGTAAGGGGAAACAGAAAGGTGTTCATCCCCCAAAGATACTGAGGGAACAGTCCGAGTATAGAGAGCGAACACAGAACTCTCAGACTAAAACGTCCATCCAGTTATTTTTATTCTGTCATTCTTTTTGCTTCTTTTTAAATTCTGTATTTTGCTTTTTTCTTTCTATTTTAAACATCGGTTATTTTAGTTATAAATGTATCTTGATAGAAATGTTCATGTAAATAAATGTGACAAAGGCAGTTTGACAACATAGATTCAGTTTTGATAAAAGAAGTCCTGAAATATCCATTAATCAGCTTCATTCTACACTTTGTTTTGGGGTTTGGAGTATAGGCCTCTTTTACATGAAATAATATCTGAGTAAAATAAATATAGAATTTGTTTAACTGGACTACTGTAAAGATTCAAAAAAATTTGAATCAGGCATCAGCAAAAACATAGGTATGAGTTTAAGTATAGCCTGAAGACTCGAAAAAGGGGAGGGGGGAGTTGTTTCCGTTTCACTTCATTTTAGGAAACAGAGAAGAGAAAAGCATAAACTCCTTCTGTGTTCTGGTCAAATTTGAATGATATTTTAGATATTTTTATATTTTATCATCATCTGATTGTTAAGACTTGATGGCTCCATTTCAAATCAGTTCATGTCTTTTATTTTTCATTGATGTAATTAAATATGATAATGCCACTAAAATATATATATGTGTGAATACTTAATTACCAGCTGTGGTGAGTGTGAGTGGAAGGAAAGATGGAGTTCATTTTCAATGAAAAGAAATTTAACGACAGACATTACAGTTCCTGTTGCCAGATCAGGGCTGCAGATCAAAGCTGAACACAGAGTTTAAGCAAAGAAATGCAGACTGAGCCAGTCAAGGTTCAGTCTGCAGTTCTTTTCTTGGACTCTGTGTTTATATAATAATAATAATGACAGCTATAAATACAGTATAAAGACTTGTCCAGTTTCAAAATCAGACCAGATCAAAGTAACTTTAAGCCAATGATATGGTATAAATGAGAGCAGGAAGAGACTTCCACTTCCAACAGGAGATGTCACACACTCCATGTGTTCCTTGGACTGTGATCTCTACAAGCTTGAAGGTGGTTTTGTGTATATCCTCTTTAACAGCTGGAGTTGGGCGCTCATGTTCCTCATGTTCTCCATGTGCAGAGTGGCAGAGACTGTATGTAAGGGTTTGGGCTGCAGATAAACAAAGTCTCTGTGTGTGGGTGTGTGTGTGTTCTTTTTCGCTATAATGGGCACAGAACCTTCCTTCTTACAGTAATATTTCACACACCATCTTGGTGTCACAGCATCCTCTGAGAACAAATCCAGTTATGCTTTACACTGAACACAAACACATGGTTGCATGGTGAGCGGTTGAGCTTTTTGCAGGCAGGCAGGTGCAGCTGGTGGTGGAGATGTTTATCAAGGTGGAATGTCTCCTCACTCACGATGAGCTGGAAGGTGTAGAGTCAGCAGCTCTAGATTCCTGCGTTCAGCCCAGTTCAAACACACTGCTCCTCCAGCTCGGACTCACGCATGTCTTGCACCTTGTTGTTTATTGTATTATTGTCCAGTACACAGTCAGAGCTTTACTGAACCCAGTCCATTCATGGGTGCGTGGTCTTTGGAGGGCCAGGATGGTGACTGGAAGGTGCTGGACTCTCCCTTCTCTAAGTAAGAAACCAGAACACTTGGTGATTCAACAACTCACACCGACGGCTGTTGTAGGATAGCCAACTATGAAATGACCCTTTTTACCATTATCTGTCCATGAAACCATAGCCATAAGTTTTTGGGCTTGGATCCAACACTATAGCCCATAGAGTCTTATTACATTATAATAAAAGTCATTATATTACCGAATTGTCCAATATATTAAAGTTGGCAAGACCCCACAGAGTGAAGTCATAGGTTCACCAAACTCTGCATGGTTAATCAAGAGACCGTGGTGGATGAATCTGCATGGTCAGCTTTGCATCTATATTACTGGCTATGGCTCTATATTACTGAAGCATCCCATCCATAATAAGAAAATTTTACCAATCTGTCCAGGAAACCCCAGACATATGTTTTTTGGCTTGGATCAAACACTATAAGTCCCATTATCTCTCCAAAGAGTCCCATTATATTATAAAAAGTTTCATTATCAAAGTGTTCAATATAATAAAGTTGACAAGATC